CCTCCCACCTGGACTTGGATAAGGGGGTTGTCTGTACACCATACCTCTCTTTCTGTGACCAGCTGTCTGCCATCGATCACTTGGCTATATTTTGCTTTTTCTATTCCATTATACTTGTTTGGCTATTATAGCAAAATATAATCTCTGCATCTTGCTCTGTTTGAATAAGCTTTGCCTAGTGTTTGGTTAAAAAATATTGTGTCTAGTTTAGATTCCTCATGGTGCAGAGATTTTTATGTATATTTATACAACTGCACAGAATGTTTTTTTTATATGGCTTTATAATAATGTTTTAGCCCTGGTTCACACCGGTGCAAATTTTCATGCAACTTGACAGTTCAAATCACGTGACAAGTCGCACCCTATTGTCAGCAATGGAACTGTTCAAATAGGTGTACATCACATGGATTTTGAATTACTTCCTGCACTATTTTTGGTGATTTCAGATGTGACTTGCATTGACATCTGTGCATGAGAGTCGCACATATGTCAGACAAGCCTCATATAAAAATCGCACTGGGTCCGAGGCTTTGACATTGTACTACTTCAAGTGAAGCAGCCCAATTTCAATGTCACATTTGGTATGAACTGCCTAATGTTGAAAATTAAATATTACATGCAACAAGATCTAAAACTTTCTGGTGTGCCGACTCATCATATACACGGTTACTGTTTTGGGGGCTTTGTGAAGAAACCCTCAAGTTATAGCACCTATTGTTTTTTTTTCCCCCGGTACTCTATTGCTTGTGCTTTTACAGGTGTGCATGTCCTATTGTGTATATTAACTGTGCAGTGATAATAAACAGATACGGTTGAAGTGACACAATCATGAGTGAGTTAAGGGGCAGACATCAATGTCCACCTTCTGAAAATGCTTTTTTTGCCTGGCTGCATTTTATCTAACAAGTATTTCCAAGTCACAAACCTGAAGCAAGCATGCTTGTTCCAGGTCAGTGACTTAGACCACATTAAAGCTAATTTTGAGACAATTGATTCCCTCCAGTATAAAAACAGAATTTGTTTTTACACTTTTTGACTATAGCAGGTTAGGACATATCCACACCATGTAGATATACTTCTATTTAATACAGCGATTATGATGACCCTTTTTCCATAAACAGATTTGTTAATGCGCCCTTCAATGTTTATCTGTATAACAGTGAATATACACCGATCAGCCATAACATTACGACCACCCCCTCCGAATATGGAGTAGGTCCCCCTTTTGTCACAAAAACAATCCTGACCCATCCAGGCATGGCCTCCACTAGACCTCTGAAAGGTATGCTGTGGAATCTGGCACCAATCCATCAAAAGTAGGTCATTGCCTCCACTGGCCATTTGGGCCCTTGTCAGAATCCTTATGCTTGCCCATTTTTTTTCTACTTTCAACATATGAACTTCAGGGACAACATGTTCACTTGCTGCTCAATATATCCCACTCACTTTCTGATGCCATTGCAATGAAATAATCAATGTGGATCTTCACGCTCTCAGTCAACATCAATTATTTTTAATCCTTGCTAGTATTAGAAAATAGATAAGAAGGTATATTATATTTACTTGTTTAATACTTTTTTTTTTTTTTTAAACATTTCTTCAGTTACTTCCTGGTTTTCAAGCCTAGGCAAATGTCGTCATGCATCCCAGGAGTCATCAGGAGGGGTTTTCTCAGCACATCCTCCTTTCTGCATGTCTGAGCTAAGGGCAGATTGATTCCAGGAAGTAAATGCTACATGAATCATCTGCCTTTACTCAAGATGGCCACAGCCAGGGGATGTTTTTGAAAGATTTCTCAGCAAAATAAAGCATGGAGACATGAATGGGTTGAGTGAGTTTGCTTTGAATATTAAAAATGAAATAGTGTTTTTGATTTCTGGTGCTCAGACACAGTGTAATTCCACTTTAAAGCAGAACTACACTGCATAAGCAGCACAATGGCTAAATGGTTAGCACTTCTGCCTGGCAGCACTAGGGTTGTTGGTTCGAATCTTCAACACAGCACCACCTGCCTGGAGTTTGCATGTTCTCCCAGTGCTTGCGTGGGTTTCCTCTGGGTACTCTGGTTTCCTCCGACACTCCAAAGACATGCTGGTAGGTTATTTGGCTTCTGTATAATTTTCCCTAGTATGTGTATGCATGAATGTGAGTTAGGGACTTTAGATTGTATGCTCCTTGAAGGTTAGGGACTGATGTGAATGTAGAATATAACTGTAAAGCGCTGTGTAAATTGACAGTGCTATATAAGTACCTATAATAAGTACCTGTAATGAATCTAAGCACCACAAACCGAAAACAATAGTTAGTACAGCTATGTCCCCCGCTGAGCTATTGTGTTATAACATCCAATTGTTAAGCACAGTGGCTGCTCCTGATCGCTGCAGTTTTTTTTCCCTTCAAACCTGCTAGTTTGTACTAGGCTTTAGAGTAATCAGTATATTTAGAGTGGCATTCATCTCCTGAGGCTTTTTTTTTTGTATTCCATATACAAAGCAAAAAGTTTTTTGCATGTTGCATTTTGTAGTTTTCCTTTAACTTTCTTTTCACTTCCTGTGAGTTTTTGGATAGAGTGGGGGAAAGTTAGAACTTATGTCAATCTCAATGACAGTGGCCACTGAAGAAAAAAAAAAAAAAAAAAGTGAAATCTCCCTAAAGTTGACACAAGCAACAATAAAAACCCATTGTAGGCTCTAAGGCAGCGGTTCTCAACCTGGGGGGGTCGAACGACCATTTCCCAGGGGTCGCCTAAGACCATCGGAAAACACATATTTCCGATGGTCTTAGGAACCGAGACACCGCTCCCGTCTCCGGCGATGTGTGGGCGGGATGATATGCTGCCCCTGTCACCGCCTCCTCGCCGCTGATTGGCCACCGGAACTGTAGCTCAGGAGAGGCACACAGGCGGCCAATCACCGGCGAGGAGGTGGAGCTTGGAGAGGAGGAGCCGAGCGGCAGCGCGCATAGATCAAAGAAGATCGAGGGAGCTGCAGGAGCGAGTGAAGAGAGAGGCCAGAGAAGGAAGACAGCTGACAGGTAAGTGCAAATTTTGCTGCTGCAGCCAGGTATGCAGGCTGTAGATGGGAGAGGGAGAGAGCGAGCCCAGGCTGGAGCAGGAGTCAGCAAGGTAAGTATCATTGGTGTCAGTGGGAGGAATAGTGCCCCATCATTTGTGTCACTAATACCAACGATGGGGCACTATTCCTCCCCCCACTGACACCAACGATGAGACACTATTCCTCCCCCCACTGACACCAACGATGAGGCACTATTCCTCCCCTCACTGACACCAACGATGGGGCACTATTCCTCCCCCCACTGACACCAACGATGGAGCACTATTCCTCCCCCCACTGACACCAACGATGGGGCACTATTCCTCCCCCCACTGACACCAACGATGGGGCACTATTCCTCCCCCCACTGACACCAACGATGGGGGCACTATTCCTCCCCCCCCACTGACACCAACGATGGGGCACTATTCCTCCCCCACTGACACCAACGATGGGGCACTATTCCTCCCCCACTGACACCAACGATGGGGCACTATTCCTCCCCCCACTGACACCAACGATGGGGCACTATTCCTCCCCCTGGCACCCACAATGGGGCACTATTCCTCCCACTGACGCCAATGATGGGGCACTATTCCTCCCACTGACGCCAATGATGGGGCACTATTCCTCCCACTGACGCCAATGATGGGGCACTATTCCTCCCACTGACGCCAATGATGGGGCACTATTCCTCCCACTGACGCCAATGATGGGGCACTATTCCTCCCACTGACGCCAATGATGGGGCACTATTCCTCCCACTGACGCCAATGATGGGGCACTATTCCTCCCACTGACGCCAATGATGGGGCACTATTCCTCTCACTGACGCCAATGATGGGGCACTATTCCCCCACTGATACCAATGATGGGGCACTATTCCCCCCACTGACACCAATGATGGGGCACTATTCCTCCCTGACGCCACTGACACCATTGATGGGGCACTATTCCTCCCACTGACACTAATGATGGGGCACTATTCCTCCCACTGACACCAATGATGGGACACTATTCCTCCCACTGACACCAATGATGGGACACTATTCCTCCCACTGACACCAATGATGGGGCACTATTCCTCCCACTGACACAAACGATGGGGCACTATTCCTCCCACTGACACCAACGATGGGGAACTATTCCTCCCACTGATACCAACGATGGGACACTATTCCTCCCACTGACACCAATGATGGGGCACTATTCCTCCCACTGACACCAACGATGGGGAACTATTCCTCCCACTGATACCAACGATGGGGCACTATTCCTCCCACTGATACCAACGATGAGGCACTATTCCTCCCACTGACACCAATGATGGGGCACTATTCCTCCCACTGATACCAACGATGGGACACTATTCATCCCACTGACATCAGTGATGGGGCGCTAGTCCTCCCACTGCAAAATTACAGTTATGAAGTAGCAACGAAAATAATTTTATGGTTGGGGGTCACCACAACATGAGGAACTGTATTAAGGGGTCGCGGCATTAGAAAGGTTGAGAACCACTGCTCTAAGGCTTCATTCACATCATGGAAAAAAAATATGCAGATTTCACTTGCAGAGACATGAGTTTACATCAGTTTTCATGCGCATTTTTTATGTACATTGATATCAGCTTTTTGCATGCAAGGTTTTTTTTTTCATGTGCAGATAAACATCACAACCTGTGCCATCACTTTCTCTTCTGCCCTATTCACACCACAATGTTCATGTCATGTCAGTTTTTTTTTGTCCTGTGGAGAAAACTGAATACACGTGTCAGAATTCTGCACAGAAAATGTCTGCACTAGTGTTGCGGTGTAAACAGGGCGCAGAGAAAACATTTGTTTTCTCTGTGCCCTTGCAGAACATATGCAGAAAAACTCACGTCGCTGCACATGGTGTGAATTCTTCTGCAGTCTAACCAACTCAAAAAAACTGAACTGTACTAACCTTAGTACATTTGTCAGGTGGCGGATTCCACTGTGCCTGCTGCATGACATCATTAACAATCATTTTTGCTATTTTCCAGGCCATTTCTTCCTGAGCCTAAAAGAGAAAGAAGGCAGGTAACAGTGGTAACAGGGGGCTCTGACGTCATGACGCTTAAGGAGACAGGCAACACACAGCAAGTACAAAGCAGTGTTTTCAAATGCACATTCTGGATTGGTTTTAAAGAGATTTTAACTATAGTTATATGTGAGTGCACTATCAATTGTTTAATAAATGTTTTAAAAGAAGATAAGGCACTATGTCTTTATTACTCTTTATGGCGTATATACCTATGGAGGAAGAGTCCTAAGGAAGTGAGGGGTTCTCTAGCTTTGACGAGTGACATTCCTATCCAGTTCCAAGTCCAATTTAAAGGGACACAAGCCTTATATGACCTCGCTTAACGGTTTGGTCATATTTACCAGGTGAGATCACAGCCAGTAAAGGTGCACATTTGGTTATTATAACAATTCATTATTGGTGGACTGAACACAAGTCAGTGTAAAGTCACAGATTGATTATGGACATTTTGTAAAAGTGATATTGTATTTGGACACAAAATTTGTTTTGTCAATAATTTGTTTTCTTGAATCAAAACACTTTTGTCAGTGGAGCACGGCACTATTAGCATTTTCATACTTCTGTTTGTTAAGTGCAAAAAAAACAAAACAAAACAAAAAAAAAAACACCTGTAGATCTTGTGGAAATCTTGAGTCGATAACTTCCTGTATTCTCTGCCTATACCGATTGTAAGCAGTGAAATTGTTAGCCAATTCTAAAGACTACAGACCAACTCCCCTCTATGTTACTGGGAATAGAAGAGGGGCAGAATCCTGTAGGCCTATCATGCAACAGATGGGTGGGTGTTGTCATCCTAGGACAGGAACTGAGTTACTGGCAAGATCATCAAGTGGGAAAAAAAAAAAAAAAAAAAAGGAAAACTAATGCAGCCACATTCAAGAACTGGTAAACAGAAATATACTAAAATTTTTGTTCATCTAAAGAAATACAGTTCCTGCAAACAGGGCCTCTTGAAGACTACTGGGTGGAGAAGGAATGTGAATAATTTAGGGGATAGCTGCATTTTAAATTATGCTAAATAGGCCTTGACACCAACTTAAAACATTGCAGGTGAAAGCACCCAAAAATCAAAGTATTTTTAAATGCTTTTTTGCATTGTGTTTTCTTTGCATAGAAAGTTTTTTTATCACATACAATGTGAACCTGCTAGAAAATTTGACTAATCCAAAAATTTGTAAATTTCCCCTAACCTCCCACACAATCTTGAATTTAGCTGCTGGGGAAGGATTGAAGGCAAATGCAATAGTGTCACTTGAGTGCCAATTCTGTGTCTGCTGTACTTGCTTACAACATATCCAAGATGGTGACACACAGCAGCAATCTCAGGGTTTTTGGATGTCTAGACCAGTGGTTTCCAAAATGCGGCCCTTATCTTACCTTTATCCTGCCCTTGAGGCATTATTCTTCTCATTGATACAAGGCACTATTCCTCCCACTGACACCAATGATGGGGCACTATTCCTCCCACTGACACCAATGATAGGGTACTATATCTCCCACTGACACCAATGATGGGGCTCTATTCCTCCCACTGACACTGGGGACACCAATGATGGGGCTGCTATTCCTCCCACTGGGGACACCAATGATGGGGGCAGACTTTCTCCCAATGATATAAACATTGAAACACTATGCCTCCCACCAATGATGGGGCATGCTTCCTCCCACTGGCACCAACAATGGGGAACTATCCCTCTCACTTACACCAACAATGTGGCACTATTCTTGCCACTCACACCAATGATTAGGCATTATTTCTTCCACTAATACCAATGATGGGACCCTATTCCTCCTCTTACTGACCAAAGGTGCTTTTTTTACAACCACTAACCAACAAGTCTAAGATATTCTATGTTTCCACTGGCCTTAATCCAGCCCTCCTAAGGGCTGAAGGACAGTAAACTGACCCTTTGTTTAGAAAGTTTGGAGACCCCTGATCTACACAAAGGAGGGTTTTTTTTTGTACAGCTAAATAGCATTCATAGAATGTATAATACAGTATAATACAATAATATTATTTATTGTTGTAAATAAATGGTCTGGTGGCAGGGTCTCTTAAATCTGGCCCTGTGGCCATAGAACTGCATTTAAAAAAATGCATTATAATGTGATTTGCTTGTTTCAGGACTCTGGAAAAGGCAAAGCTTTATTCATTCATTTTTGATGAGTGGTATAGGATAGTATGGTATAGGATAGTAAAAGTAATAGATCTATAGGATTAAATGGAAATTGGGGTTCACATGTATGGGCCTGGAGGACGAGATGCTGACAATAGGCTGTGGTATACAAAGAGGAGCTGTTCTGGGAGATGGCCAGCTTATTGGCGTGTCTCAACATCTTTAAACAGCACTCTTCAGGATGACCTGACAACAGACTAGTAACAGTAAAACAGGAAGTAAATACATAGCCAAGTCATGCAGCTAAACACAGGACTTATCTTCAGTAATAGTCACCTATCATGTCATATTTTTCAGATGTTTATAGGACAAAACCTGTGTTGGACTCAGACTCACTAAAGCATGTGGGGATGAAAACACCTATGACAGGCAGACTGTGTGTGCAATATGTATTTCCATAAATAACGTCTGTGTTTGATTGGAGTGTGCTCCTTACAAAAGACTCAGACTACGTGAGAAATATAGATGTGTCATTTGACAATCTCTTCACTGATAGGTCAGAATTGCACAGCAAAATAAATGAAAGCTTTGTGCAGGGCTACTACCCAAATACAGTATGTAAAAACAAGATAATAAATGACTAGCGACTAAACATAACACAGACAGGTCTCTCCCCCAAATTCCCAAAATACTCTGGCTGCTTCGAGGAGACCAAAATAAGTTCAACGTAGAAAGCTGATGGCTCATATTCACCTCATCTGTACTTCCCTGTACCCATTTCTTCATAGCTTGTGAAAACATTGAACCTAGAAAAAGAAGAAATACTGTTACCTTTATCATCATTTCATGCTAAAATACTATATTCCTGACTGTTACACTGATCCAGTCATTTCAATTTTCAAGCATTCTGACATATTGCATGCTTGTTCCAGGTTAGTAACAAAAATGCTCAAGTTAGGATGGCAGCAACTAGCATAATTAGACTAATGGCAGCCTGCAGAATGGGCATCCTTTAGTTTTACACAATTTAAACAGTCAGTGAACCCAAAAAGTGATATTTTAGTGGTAGGGTCCCGTTGGGAGATTGACCCACCCAATTCTTGTATTTCCCAGAGACTACAAAGATAGGATTACACCACCACTCATATATATATATATATATATATATATATATATATATAAGGATTATAAGTAATATACTGCAGGATGTTGCACATATTACACCAACTGAAATGCACTATTTCTAAAGCCTTTGCATTCCAAGTTTAACTTTAATAAAAAATGATGCTATAAGTCAAAAGGAGCAGTTGGTTTAGTTTGCTGATTTTGTTGCAGGGATACAGTAAGGGTCCTCAGCTGCCATTGTGTGGTGTTGGGCTTCTGGTGTCACCCTGTGACTGTAAGGAAGAATGAGCTACCTTCAGGCATGTCTGCCCTCAATTTGTTTATTACTAAATATGCTCCAAAATGGGGGCTCTCAAATTACGGAGAGGGTTTACACTACACAAAGGGACCTTGACCACATAGTGTGGTGTCCATATGTATTTGCAAATGCATGAAGCCAAAAACCTCTGTGTAAACACAAATTGTTACAATGGGGTACATTTGGGGGTGGAGGTCTGTTTCTTTGCTAACTAGCTGGTAAGTATGCTGAGATTTTTTTGTATTTTGTTTGTTCTGTCAAAATCTATTTCCATATTTCTACATGCAAATTATTATAAAAGTCTGGTTTTAAAGTCATTTTAACAGCTGCCATTATTGTTTGTCTTTTGCATTCTAAGTTTCATATAAAGAGAACTAAGAAGCAACATTCTTTCAAGGATAATGGATCACTTTTGTTCTGAAACACACTTGACAAGGACTTTTGTTTATAAAGGAAACATTAATATTTCAATGGGATGTTGCGAAGTGTAATGGAGTTGAGAAAATGGCAGACATTCACCTTTGGATTTTTTCACATCAGGCTCAGGTTCAGACTCTCGGATGAACTGACCCAGGTCACTAACTGTGCCAAAAGTCATTTTTCTACAAGTAAAAAAGAAAAATTATAAATAAAAGAAAAATGGTCTGGATTGCCAGTCTATTTGCAATATACTCAGTTTACCAGGAAGTTTCTTTTTTTTCTAAACATCCCAGCAATATTGGAGATCACCTTTAAGTGTTCTTACCCTGCATACGCTCTTTGATAAAGTGACTCGGGATCCAGGCTTGCAGCATCAACAATTATTGCTTCATCAAAATTTTTCAAAATTTTTACATTGCTTTTTTTGACATTAACCTGAAATGGACAGTAAATATATGTTAGTATCATCCATAAATAGAAGTGCTGAACTGACTAAAAAGCAGGGTGCTTGCACATTTCTTTAGATGTAGATGACAAGGGCCCAATCACACTTGTCTGCTTTCCTGCATGGTTTATTTGATGAGAATGCCTTTTGTTAAAATTCTATTCATTACTAGAAGGCTAGATCACATAAAGGGTATAGATACCTTTTTGTGCATTTACATGGACTTAAACCATAAGGCAAGGCTCATCTAAAATGCACATTACTGCAACTATTTCATGTGTATAGGTGTGAAAATTCCCTTAGTGTCCACTCAGATTCATGTATACCACACTTTGCAGTACCACGTATTAAAAAATGGCACCCCAATGCGCAGCTACAATAGGTTTGAACACACTCATGCTGGAGCACACCACAATCTATACAGTATGCCCTGCCTAAAAAAAGTGAAGGGACTTTTTGGCCAATTCTTTATTATTATTATACAGTATTTATTTAGCGCCAAAGGGTTTGCTCAGTGCTGTACAATAGCAAGGGGGACAGAACATGAGACAAGACAGTAACAATACAATACACACGAGGGGTTCGAGGGCCCTGCTCTTTCGAGCTTACAATCTAGGAGGGAGGGGAAGGTGGTACAGGAGGAAATGGCTGTGGGGGATGGAGTGGTGGGAGGAGTGGAGGAGGTCAGTTGTTAGGTGAGGGTGGGGTAGGGTTCCCTGAAGAGGTGGGTTTTCAGGGTGCGCCTGAAGGTGAGGAGGGTAGGTGACAGTCTGATGGATTGGGGTAGGGAGTTCCAGAGGATGGGGGAAGTCCTGGAGAAATTCTGCAATCGAGCGTGGTAGGAGGAGATCAGGGAGCTAGAGAGTAGGAGGTCCTGTGAGGAGCGAAGGGCACGGGTAGGGTAGTATTTGGGTATCAGGTCGGTTAGGGAGCTTGGTTTTGGACAGGTTTAATTTGAGGAAATGGAGCGACATCCAGTCTGATATGTCGTTTAGGAGGTGGGCGATGCGAGCAGAGAGAGAGGGGGTGAGATGGGGGGTGGAGAGGTAAATTTGTGTGTCGTCGGCATAGAGGTGGTAATTTAAGCCGTGGGAGTGTATTAGTTATTGTATTAATACACTGCATGTTATCATGGGAAGTACTGCACAAAATTGTACCTTATTGGACTGCAAAGGTCTGAAGGGGCCCTAAATTATTCAAAAGAACTGAGGTTTTCTTGATTGTTGCTCCTGAGAAGATTGAAAGAGTTGCAGGAATAGCTATACTGCAGAAGTCCCTTGACCCACCTGAATAACAGAGCCACCAAGGCACTCTCTTTAATCAGACTCAGAGGTAGTATGACACACAATACCACCAAACACTGTTTGCTCTTAATTTTGAACATCAGTAATTTATAAGGATCTCCACAGAATACAGACCTGAAACTGTGACCTATTTCCGGAAATGCTAACCCTGTATTGCAGCATGTGCTTTAAAAAGCCTCTCTAGTCTTATAAACTTTATCACCCAAAGGCATGCCTTGGGCTTTACCAGATCAGTCAAGAGATATTCATCCAGTTACTGCTGACAGGTCCATCATACTTCACTCTCCCTTCATAATACCAATGTGAATTTTGAAGCCTTTCTGTGTCACTTTTGGGCTTTAATGTGCCATTTTGCTTATGCTCCATTCCTTATTAACCACTTGCCATCCAGAGGATTTACACCCCTTCGTGACCAGGCCATTTTTTGCTGTTTGGCACTGCACTATTTCAACTGGTAATTGCGCGGTTGTGCAATGCTGTACCCGAACAAAATTTATGTCCCCCTTTTCACACAAAAAGGGCTGTCTTTTGGTGGTATTTTGCGGTTTTTAATTTTTGCGCTATAAACAAAAAAAGACCGAAAATTTTTTGGGGGAAAAAAAAACGATAATTTTCACTTTTGGTTATAAAAAATATCCAACAAACTCAAAGTTAGTTATAAATTTAGGCCAAAATGTATTCTGTCTCGGGTATAAAAAAAAAAATCTCAAAAAAAAATCTCAATACATTATGAATTGGTTTGTGTGAAAGTTATAGCATCTACAAACTATGCTATATATATATGTGGGGCAACACAGTGGCAAAATGGTTAGCACTTCCACCTGGCAGTACTAGGGTCGTTGGTTCGAATCCCAGCCACAACACCACCTGCCTGGAGTTTGCATGTTCTCCCTGTATCTGCGTGGGTTTCCTCTGGGTACTCCGGTTTCTTCCCACACTCCAAAGACATGCTGGTAGGTGAATTGGATCATGTCTAAACTGCCCTAATATGTGTATGTATGAATGTGAGTTAGGGACCTTAGATTGTACACCCCTTGAGGGTTAGGGACTGATGTGAATGTACAATATATATGTGTAAAGCGCTGCGTAAATTGACAGCGCTATATAAGTACCTGAAATAATAAATAAATAAATTTACGTAGCTTTTACTTTCTAACTGCCTATCACATTCTTTTTTTTTTTTTTTTTTTTTTTTTTTTACACAAAGTTGTCACTTAAATGATATATTGCTCATGCATGCTAAGGGTATATGTGGAATAACACCCCAAAACACATTCTTCTACTTTTCCCAAGAATGGTGATACCACATGTGTGAGACTTTTTGGACTAGCTGCATACAGGCCCCCAAAATCCAATGACTACCTCCAGGCTTTCAAAGGGCATATTTCCTCATATCACTTCCCCACTACCTATCACAGTTTCGGAGGCCCGCTGCTCATAAAACAATTCAGCAGCTAAATGGCCACTGGGATTGCTTTTACATGGAAGCCGATTGCCAGCTGAAAAAAAACAATACCAGGATGATGCCTGTAGCTGCAGGCATTATCCCGGTATAACCACTCAAAGTTCAGCAACGTACCAGTACATTGCTGGTTCATGCTGGGAATATATGTAACAGTAGAACACAGGCATACGATGAATTGTCTCTGGGGATCAATATGCTTTTATTCGGTGAAGTGCTCTCTTCTCTCCCTGGACCGACTGGAAGGGGCAGCGGGAGGACACAGGTGCGTTCAACCCCAAAACAAAACACAGGAAGAGAAGCAAGATTATGTCGCTTTGCCAAGAGCTGCTGCTCGCCCACAGGTTGGCAAGTAGTTAAAAAAAAAAAAACCTTAGACATCTTTTCTTAAATCTTTTAATATGGCATTTTTTTATTTTTTTAAAACATTTTTATTTTATTAATTCTTCTAATCAGAATAGTACAATATTACCATAATAACACTGTACTACTGTGGGGGGAGCAAGTACCCAAAAATTGACAGGTACCCGCTCCCACTTCTGCTGCGTTCACCTAGGCCGGGTTGTCTGCAACCCGCCCAGAGCTTTGCTAGGCTCTTTTTTCACCTTGGCTGCTCCGGAGGCGCTTATTTTTGCCACACAGGTGACAGGCAATAGGGCAGCAATGGGCAAACTACGGCCCGGCGGACCTTTTAATCCGGCCCACGGAGCTAGGCTCCCGCTAGGCTCCTCTCACAGTCTGCCCTGAAGACCGGTGTAGCATGAAAATCTGTCTCCTATGAGGATCTGTCCCCCCTCTACGTATTTGCGCATGTGCCGGAGATCGCCGATCGGCTGCCTGAAATTGGCACATGCGCAGATACGTCGAGGGGGATAGATCCTCATAGGAGACAGATTTTCATGTACACCGGAACGGCGCGGGAACACGGCGAGAGGAACGCGCGGAGCAAAGGTAAGTGAATTGACACAGGGGGTACTTAATATGGGGGATGAATTAATATGGGGGATGAATTACTTATAGGGGGGATGAATTACTATATGGGGGATGAATTACTATGGGAGATGATTTACTATATGGGGGAATGAATTACTATATGGGGGATGTATTTTCAGTTTTAAAAGTGGCTCTCAAAATAAATTTCAATCGTGGTTTTGGCGAGATTTTGGCTCAGTTGAAAAAAAAAGGTTGCCCACCACATGAAATATCTAAGGCTATGATTGTGATTATGACGATACACTGTGGCCCTGATTAACCCTTTGCTTACTGGGCCCTTAAACCCCCCTTTCATGACCAGAAGCGCTTTTTGCAATATATGCAGTGTCGGATTTGTTTTAAATGTTGCAAATGGTTTTGCGGCTCCCAGTCTTTTTTTCCCTCTCGGAAACGGGTCCAAGTGGCTCTTTATGTCTTAAAGGTTGCAGACCCCTGACCTAGGCGATCGGAAGCAGTTGTCCTCCTACCCTCCCTCTTTCTAGCAGTTTTTGTTGCTGCTGACTTATTTTTTTGATAGTGTGAGTGGAACTCCGCTTTTATTTCACTGTGTCCGCCGGACACAGCAGTCACGAGAAGGGGGGGTGGTGGTAGCGCTGCAGGCGCTCCTGTCCTCAGTACATTGCGGGCGGGCAGTCGGGACGCGATTAATGCTGGATTTTACCAGTTACGCTCTCAGTAATAAATAAACTGCAAAATTTCAAGAAACCCTGAAAGAGAAAAATTCTCTTAAGTCTTAGTTGCAAACCCAGGTATGGTATGTAAAATGCTGCTATTTAAGAATTCCATCTTAGAGCAGTAAGCATAAATCATCAAGTTTCCTGTTGGAGAATAAGTAATGTATTAAAACCAAGTTTTAACACTCTTCCTTTCAGCCATATGTTACTTTTACTTGCTCACTCATTTCGTGTTTGCTAGATTAAGGTTTGCTTCTTATGCATAGTTCTCCACTAAAAGAACTGAAACTCAGCCTTTGAAATATTCTATAGATTCTTGCATCTTGTATGACTGAAGCAGAAATGTCAGCAAGCATGTAAGAGTTAAGGGAGATTTAAGCAAAACTAGTCACGTAAGCTATGGTGCACAATCTAGAAAAATGCCATTTTAAAGGAAACTTGTGCTAAGGGAAAGACACAAGCTGCCATTGTTAACCTCTCCTTTTGAAAATGTAAAATGCTGGCTGCCAAGTTGGCTTTAACTTCTAGGTCACTGACCTAAAACAAAATGCAGTGGG